TCATCTAAACACTCAAAGTCAGTTTCATCTATGAACAGTTCATATACACTCTTGTTTGCTTCTAACAATGTTTGTCTCTCTTCGGTATGTGGAATTTGTCTTGGATTGAACTTAGAAATATCTAATGTCATGAAATATGAGAACAAGTGGTTGTAAAAGTCAGATGTCAAAGTTTCTGCTAAGTCGTCAAAATATTCTGTATCTTGCATATGAGAATCTGACGTTCTGACAACTACATATCTTCTGTCAGAACTTTCTAACTTCATCGGAACAGCGTTGTTTGAAACCATGACGAAGTTTGCAACATTTTCACAAACTCTTTGGTCTTTATATTTTCTTTCAACAACTCCAACTTTGTCTGTTATAAGACTCTTCAAAGCATCTGAGTTCAAAACTTTTGTTGTATCTATACTTTGAAGTTCGTTACATACTATAAGTTTCATATTCTCTATTGAGGAGTTAAACTTGCCACAGATGTTTTCTAAGTTTGTCATATTCGGATTCGAATAGCCTTCTAACAGTTTGCATAAGATATCTGTAAAGAAAGTGTTCTTACCAGTTCCTTGTTTTCCAATTATAATGAGAGCAGTTTCATTTTTAGCACTTGGATGTTGTAAGATGTTTGCAAACCAACATAAGATATACTCATAGACTCTTTCGTTTCCATTGCATATAATTTCTTTGACATGGTCTAACCAAGCTTCTATAACATTTTCTTTCCATTCTACTTGTTCATATTTATATCCAGTGAAGATAGAATAGAAGTTTGGAGAAGGTGTATAAAACTTTATACCACGAACTGAAAAATCTTCTAACTTTGACAATAAGATATCCCAAGCATCTAACATCTTCATGCCAACTTGTACGACTTTTATTTTCTTAAGTTTCTGTCTACATTCTTGTTCTGAAACTATTGTTGCTCTTGGTTTGTTAAAGACAACATCCCATTCTTTCATGACATAACATTCTGGGCAGAGTCGACATAAATGACTAAACGTTTCAAATTCTCGACTGCTTTGTTATAGTCTCTAAATGGACACATATTTCTGAAGGCTTGGAAGTCATAAAAATCTGAAACATCTATTCTGTACATTTTTATAAAAATAAAAAAAAATATTTTTTTTATTCTTGACTTTGTTGTTGCATTTGTTGTTCTTGAGCTATTTGTTGTTGAAGTTGTTCTTGTAATACAATACTTTCACCAGTTGCATCTTCCAATTCGAAACTTTCTGCCGTCATTGACAAATACATAGGACATAAAAGTTTTACAGGAACAAAGTTTGCGTCGACTAAGGTTAAGTTTATGTTTGCTAAAGTGTTTGAGTTTACTAAAGCTGAAAACTCTGCATTCGAATGAACAATAGGCAAACCAGCAGAGAATGTGTTGTTTATACGCATGAGTATCTTTTGGTCATAGTAGTTTCTGTCGACATTCGAATAACACTTTGAACCTAAGTTTGAAACAATATATAAAATAGGTGTACTTAAAGTCAATGGAACAGATAGACCTTGTATGACACCTTTTCCTGTTATAGGAAACTGTTGGTAGTAAAAACCAGATATAAGTTTTGTATTATAGCTCATATCGTTTATAGTAAACTCAGTCGGACATCCAAACATAATGAAACCTGCTCTAGTTGCAGCACATGTTACATCCGTCCTTAAAGTATTAAATAAGTCAACAAAACCTGTTGGTGGTATATCTGAGTAAGTATCTTCAAAGAAGTATTTTTTACCATTCACAACAACAAAGTCTTCTGGTGTCAAAAGAGCAAAACAGGCTTTAGTCGTCATTGTGTTTAAGGTTAGTTTACAATATCGTCCTTGAGGACTTTGTAAGTTTGTTGTTATAGAATTATATGACTCAGGGTTTTTAGTCGTAATAGTATAAACCACTATGTCTTCTGCCATTTACATATATTTAAAAGTTTTTCTGAAAGTGGAGAAGAACTTCATCTAAACTTTCACATGGCGTTTCTTGAAGTTCTCTGTCTAAGAAGTTCAAATATTTTGTAAAGACATAGAACTTTCCTTTGTCTACACGAACAAACAAAACAGGGTCTTTCATATCGTTCAAAAGTGTGTAAAGTCCTTTACATGAAATAAAGTCTATATTATTTTTCTTCAAACATCTTTCAAGAAGTTTTGACATTTTTACTTAGCAAATAAACTTTAATGAAATGTTGTGGTCGTCAAATATTTTTATAACGTCTGGGAAACTATATTTTAAGTTCAACGTTTCACCTCCTTTCATAACGTATATCTTGTCAATGACATTATATGAAACACCACAGCAACTAACGTCGGGTTCTATTTCTTTGATGTTTATATCGTCTGCCTCTGTCAAAAGTTTCAATAGTTCTTTCAAAACTTCATGAGGTGCAATGACATATGAGTTCACTTTTACAGGGTTGTGTTCGACCAAGTTTAACATTATACCTAAAGCTTGACAAATCTTCTCCTGAGTTTTAAGTTTGTCTTTAAGTTGTTGGTAGTCATTTCGAATATCTGCAACAGAACTTAAGTCTCTGCTAACTTCAGGGTATGTTGGTTGTTCTTTTACAGGAACTATTGTTATACCATCTTCGTCTTCGTATGGTTTCCCCACTTCAACATCTCTGTCTTTGACATTGACAACAACACTTTGACTGTTTGTTTGAGTTGGTGAATTTAACTTCACATCTGCCACCGCCATTAAACCTTTTGAAACACTTACGCTTCTATTTTTCGGAAATGACATTTTACTTAGAATAAAAAGATGGACGTATTTGAGTATCTCTTCGAATTGAAGCAAAACAAAGTTTACACACACAAACAGTACAAATACATTGACAGAATAGTTCTTTACACAAACAATGGAAAATGTTATAGAATAGCAATATTTGCTGAACCAAAATATTTTCATAAAGCAAAGAAAGTTGGTATAACTGAAATGGTGAAAGTTCTTGAAGCAGACAAAAATATAACTTCAAAACTTACAGATATTTCTAAAGGTAAGTTTATAATACAATATTATGTCAAAACTGGCGTACTGTCAATATTTGACGGAGAGAAGTCAGTTCAAGAACAACTTACTGACCTGCTGCCAAAATCTGCTCGATGGAAGCTGTCGTTATGCCAATCTGAGGAGCCCCAGCAGGTTTCATCGAACGAATCTTCAAAAGAGCATCTTCCGTGAAAAGTGCTATTGGTTTTGTAAACTTCTTTGCTTTCAATTCATCTGGACCGTCTCTGTCACCAGTATATTGTATTTGTACAGTACCAACAGTTGAAATACCACCCATAAAGTCTTCTGAGTCAGCAAATGGAATGCCAAGCCAAAAGTTTGAACGGTCTCTATTTGTATATTGAGTTTTTTGACCTCCTGTATGAGTCCATACTTTCACATATGGCATAATAGAACTTTGCATTTCAGGGTTAATGGTTGTTGTGAAGTTGTTGTTAAAGTTCATAGCATCTAATGTCAAGTTGTATGACCTCATATCCTCAACTGTAGAATATTCTTCTCTTGGATAATATTTGCCATCTATGTTTATATGATATTTAATACCGGGGTTGTAGAAACAAGAATAGTCATTTATAGTTCGTCTGAACAGTACAAACATAGTATCTGCATGTTTCATTGCAGTTGTTAAAGCAATATCTGTTCTTGCACCTGGGTCAGCACTTTGGTTTCCAACTTCACCTGCAAAGTCTTTGACAGATATTTGGTGTATAGGGAACATAAGTGGAACTGCAATATATTTGGCAGCTAAAGCATTTGAAATATCTGGGTCCAACATATAGACTGCAAGTCTGCTTTCTATTCTCTTGCATTCAAACTTTTCGCATGTAAACTTAACTGGGTCCCAAGCATCTCCAGCAGCATTGAAATAATAGTTTACTTCAGTGTTGAGGTTTGAGAAACCAAAGTCTAAGTCAACTTTGTCTTTGCAAAAGTCGGCGAATGACGTTTTATTTGTTCCCACTACTTCTGTAAGAGTGAATGGGTCTTGTGTTGGTGCAATGACTAAGTTATTTTTGCTTGGAGTAAGTTCAATAGAAATTTTTCCTGCCCAGTTTGGCAAGTATCTTAAAAACCTGAAGATGAGGAAAGATGACAAAGGAACTCTAAGTTTCAGTTTTACTTTGGTTACTGCTGCTGCAGTTTGTCCAGAAAGGTTAACATAAACTCCTGGAACGTTAGGGTCAAGTCTTCTTATTTTCTCAATGGTTGCATACTGGTCTGTTTGTTCTCTAGCTTGTGGTTGTACTGAGTTTCTCAAAGCGAACCATTCATAGTTTGCCCATGTTACTGTTTGAACTAAGTCAGAGTTAGAATATATCTTATATCCCATGAAAACTTCTGGAGCATATTGGTATCCGACATAGAAAATTCCATTGCAACCTTTCTTGTCAGACAACTTGGAAGAAGGTTTTATTTCAATGTCTTGTTCCACGTATAAGAATGAGTTGTCAATAGAAATAATATGAAACCTGTCGCAAGCAATATCTACTGTTGTTGAAGAACCTTCTCCAAACTCACCTACGTTTCCATAAGAAACAGCAGTTGTATATTCGTAAGTTCCAGGAACTATTTCTGACCTTCTAATGGCATTGTCGCATTCGTTATACCATTCGGAAACATTTCCGTTCATGGCATCCAAAACTGTTGGCGTTATATTCTGAGCGGCGTACATTTCATATGGGTAAAAATATAGAATAGTTGGATTTATATGTCATAATAGAACCCACTCGGACCAAGCTTTACTTTCTTCCTGACTGAGTTTTTAACTGAATCTTTAACTCTTCTTTTTCCTTCATTGCCACTACTTTCACTAGATGAAGTTACTTCTTCACTATTTTCACTTTGTTCTACTCTTCTCTTCTTCTTTGGTGTCGCGTTTGGTAACTTGCCCTCTGCTTCAAGTTGTTGCATCTTTGCCTCATGTTCACCTAGTATGTTGTAAATTTCCCATGTCCTTTTTGCCTTTGGGCTCTGGTCGCCCATCTCAGGTAACCTATATCCTAGAAAGAGTTTGTCATAGTTTGTATTTGAGTCTTCGCGTATTGTTTGCATGACTCTTTCCTGAGTTTCCGGTTCAAGCTCTTCAAACAGAGCTTGTCCATATGGAATAAGCTCGTTTCCAAATATATGTTTTTGTAGCCATTCTGGTTTTCTTTCCATGTTACCAACAATATCTTTTGTGAATGGGAAAGCTTTTACCCAATGTTTCAGTCTTGCGTCATTTATTTCTGTAGTTGGTTTTATTTTGTCAAGGAACATGTTTTTCAATACTAACATTTCATTTGGTACTGTCCATTTGAGTTTTCTTAAATATTCATCCCTTCTCAGTTCATTGTCTGCAAAGTAAGTTTTTATGACATTTTGTAAACTTTCGTTTGCAAGGTCATGTACAATAGGTTCTCTTCCTTCTCTCTCCCTAACTTTCTTTCTAAACTCTTCACCAAATATACCATCTCTATGGTTCTGTGTAGTTCTTTGAGATAAATGTTTTAGAACGTCAGGTGTTATATTTCCATCAGCCATGTTCATTTCATACTGGTCCAAAATATCTGCATGTTTCATATCTTTCAATGGCATTAAAGCCGCGCTGAAAATACCAGCTATATCTGGTTCACCATTGACTTCCATTGCGTCTACAACTTCTTGGAATTGTGGTTGTAAGTTTATGAACCACCTATCCGGGTTAGCTTTATGACCCCATCTCATTGTAGTTCCATAGTCTGCAGAAACAAAAGTAGGTTTGTTTCCATATTGGTTAGGTTCTGAATGAACTTTAAACAATGTTTCATTTCTATATGTTTTGTTGAAATTTAACCTTTTATTTTCACCGAGTTCATCCAAAGATTGAACGTTGTATGGTCGTAAGTAAAAAGGGTTGTTGTATTTGCGTACATTTTCTTTCAGTACTTCCATTCTATGCTGAATATTTTCATCTGGTGTTGGAGTCTTTTGTATGTCGGTGAAAATTTTTCGATATTCTTCTACTATGTCAGCCGAATTTTTTTTAGACTCTTGGAAAGATTCCATATTCACCTCATACTCTTGTTGAGGGTCAAGATTTTTCGGCTGTTCCAAATCTTCATCTAGTTCTGTGAAGTTAGTTTCCAAAGGAGGGACTTGTTCGTTTCCTTCAGGCTCTTCTAGCTGTTGTTGCTGAACTATTTCTTCCATGTCTGGTTGTATCTGAACTTCTTCCTGTTGAGTTTCTTGTACCTCATCTGCTGGCATTTCATATATTCCGAGACCGTTTTTAACAAGTTCCCTATCTAAGTCATCCGGACTCATAAACCTTTCTTCTTTCGTTCCGTCTCTATTTTTTACGCGTTTCATGAAGAGAGTTGAATTGTCATTTAGCTCTGACACCAAATATCTCGGAGTAAATTCATTCATGTCATTTGGATGATATGCTATTAAATCATATCCCTTAGCGAGCTTGTATTTTCCAGGTTTGAAATTATATCCCATTTGGTGCTGAGCCATAAAGCTAAATAGGTTCGGGTCAGTATTTCCTTCCTTGAACTTTCTAATAGCTTCTTTATATCTGTCACTAAAGTCAAGAGTATCTGGGTAACCATAATCTTCCTTTAGCATTTTTAAGAATTCTTGGTTTCCTTGTTCTCTACTTCTTTTATGTCCTTGCTCTGTTTGTGGTTGTTGTTGTGCAGGATTTTGAACTGTTGGTTGCTGTGCTGGTTGTGGAGGTGGTTGTTGTGCAGTGTTTTGAACTGTTGGTTGTTGTGCAGGGTTTTGAACTGTTGGTTGCTGTGCTGGTTGTGGAGGTGGTTGTTGTGCTGGTTTTGGTGCATGCCTGTGTCTGTGTCCATGTGACGATGTAAATGTTTTAGGTAGTCCTGGTGCAGGTGCTTCTCTTGGAGGGTTTGGTGGTATATAGGTTCCACTAGCTAGTATATAAGTTCCACCAGCTGGTATATAAGTTCCACCAGCTGGCACATATGTTCCATCTGCAGCATAGTGTCCTACCTGACTTTTCGTTTTTAAGAAAGCATTTACTAGGTCTGTTTTGGTCTGTTGTAACTCTTTTTCTTGACTTTCCACAACAGTTGCTCTAACGGCGTCATAGGCACTTTGAACTGCCTGTCTCGTTGCTGCATCTGTTATTTTCGTCATATTTTGTGCTACTTCTCTTAACTCGTTGTCGAAACCTTCAGACTTCAGTTTCTTTCCAGATGAGAAGTCGTTCACTAGTTTCACCTTACTATGAAGAGCTTCGAAGGCGTTCTTAAAGTCAGCATTCATTAAAGCTTCATTTGAACTGTCTTCATCCGCTTGTATTTTTGTCCTTATTGACCCTATAAGCTGGGCTGCTTTAGCGTTGGCTTGGGCATCTAACCAGTCATTGTTAGCTTTTATATATTCTGCGCTTTTCATTGCCTTTTGCATAGCCGCGTCGTCATTTTTACTTTCTTGTGCTAAGTTTTCATACTGTACGGTTTGGTTTTGCAACTGTAAAAGTTTTTCTGCCTTTACATTTGCTTCAACTTCTTTTTTATACTCATCGCTATCCATATATGTCTTCAGGGCTTTTTGTTTTATCTCTTCATCTTTCAGTACTTTATATCGAGTAGTATGGTTTTTCAAATTTATGACATCTTGTTCCATTTTTGCTACTTCTGCTGCTTTTTCTGACACTTTTTTTGCATATTGCTCTGTACTTAGTTCTTTCAGTTGTTCTTCTTTCTTCTTTTTCTCTACGTTTAACTCATTGAGTTTCTTTGTGTGTCTGTCGTATTCTAGTTTCTTTTCGTTTTCACCTATTTGTCTCTGTATGTCTATGTTTGACTTTTTGACATCTGATATTTGATTTTTGAGTGAACTCAAATTCATTTGACTTTGAGGGTTATAAGCTGTTCCGTCTGCAGCTCCACCATAGCCTGCCATTTTCGCTAAAAGTGCCGCTCTTAAACCTCCACTCTGTGCACCAAAAACTCGGTTTAAGAGCATAGGGTTGCTTGACATTTGTTGCAACATAGTGGGGTCATTCAGCATTTGTTGTTGCAACTGTTGTTGTGGTGTTAGTCTTACTATTGGATTTTTCAATGCTCTCTTCCTCTTACGTATATTCTTACGTATCTTACGTGGCATTTTAAGTGAAGTTAAAAAGCGGCTTTTGACAGATGTTTATATGACACTTTCTCCGGTTTATAGGACCTCTCTCATATTCTATCTTGTCATATCTAAACTCATAGTCATGTATGTCCTCTAACCATCTCATAACAGTTTCCAAACCACTTTTATCGGATGTAAAGTAAAAACATGGATGGTTATGTAAAACGTCTAAAGTTTCTAAAGAGTCTCTCAAAGTATACTTCCTTGGAACGCCCGTAACTTTTCTGTAGCGACGATAGACCCTTACTTGTCCGGACATAGTTATACTATTTTGAGTCCTCTACCGAAAAGTCAACGACAACGACTTTCAAAAATTTTTAGGGCTAGAAGGCACGAAGTGCCTGGGAAGCCCCCTTCACCAAAAAAAACCTCATTTTATACTTCATTGTATACTAAACATCCTTGGGGCTAGAGGGCACGAAGTGCCTGGAGGCCCCACTACCTTTTTTTTTTTTTTTTTTTTTTTTGTGTTTATCAAAATTATGGTTCTTCGTTTTGTAGCTATATTTTGAATGACAATAGAAAAAAAAAATACTAGAAACTAAATATGTATTTAATTTTATAAGTAAAAATTCACATAATGATAATATATTTGTGAAGATTATTTGAAGAAACAATTTTTATTAATTCAATTTTCATTATAGCATTATTTAGGTGAAGTGCTCTCAAATTGTGAGCCAGACAAATGTTTAATGGCTGCAATAAAGGAACATAGCTCAGGTGCGTTTGCATTGAATATTTATCGTTTTGATTTCACAAAACATCGTTGCGTTTAATCAAAAATTTGATTAACTTAATAAATTTAAAGATTAAGCGATCTCATTTTAACACAATCGGTAAATTCAATACGTCTATGAAACAAAGCCATAATTTCTCGTAGTATAAAATATTTGATAAAATTTTATCGCTTACAGAGGTGGAATTAAAGGGTGAGAGATATATAGATAGACTATATATCTCTCACCCTTTAATTCCCTATACAAAGTTCGAAAACTTGGGTGCAATCAGATCTGATTGCACCCAAGTTTTCGAACTTCATGTAAAGAATTGCTTGCTATGATGTACTGATCATGAATCAGTACATCATAGCAAGCAATTCTTCATCTTAAATATATTTTTCTTAATCAATACATAACTTGTTCGCAATTTGGTTTTAGACGCTATATTTTAATCTAATTTCGATTTTTTATAAAATCGCGTACTTCTAATAAAACGCGATTTCAAAAACAATCGCGATTTTTTTCTGTTCGCAATTTTTCAGAAGTTCGCGATTTTATAAAAAATCGAAATTTTTCTTTGCGATCGAGATTTAAAAATTCGGTTGCGATTTTGCCTAATAACAAAGCAATTCACAAAGATTTTTTGAATCTAGAATGGCTGTTTATCCATTTTAGACTGCTCACAATATGGTTTTTCTGCATACTTGCCGAAATCAGAGATCTAAAATCAAACAATCTCGATAACAAATACCTCAATCCCACTTTACTGGTCAAAATTCTTGAAGTCTTACTTTACTGCACTAATTAATCATAATTTACCTTTAACTAAAAAAATATTACATAAATCTAACAAAAAAACCTTTAGCAATAAAAATACATTTGCTCAAGCCTATCGGCAACTCAAATCTAAAAAACTTTTTATAACATTCTTATTACAATTTTTATTTTATTCTTATATTTATATTTTTTAGTTCACTTTTTAAATAATGATCTTTAGATTGAACCAATAACGCGATTTTCCATATAAATCGCGATTTTTTTGAAAAATCGCGACCACAATAAAATCGCAATTCATTAAAAAACGCGATTTTAAAAAAGTCGCGATTTTTCTAAAAATCGCGATTTATATATTTAAATCGTGATTAAAAAAAGTGGTTGCGGTTTTCCCTAATGTCCTTTCTATGGCTCGAGATAAATTGATTGAAAATGAACCTGATTTAGAATTTATCAAAATGCATCTCCAAAGGCGTGCTCTTACAGATTTTACAATTATCGATATTATCTTCAGAATTTTTCACTTATCTGATTCTTATATGGAAAATCTTGGAATTATTATTGATAATCAAGCCATACCAAAACAAGATGTTGAGTTATGGTTGCGAAAAGAACATGATTTCAAGATTTTTGACTTTTTACCACCAGATTCTAATGGTTTTCATACTATCGAAGATATAGGATATAGTTTCATCATGGGAAATGTCATTGTACAATATACAGCTGGTACGCTTTTTTATCACGCTCTTCAACGTATGGATACTAAAGGTAAACATCCTCCTACAATATCCACACTAATTGAGAAATCTTATTTTGGATTTCGTGCGATAAATAAACTTCAGAAAATTCTCAAGGCACGCAATAATGCCTCGGTTTTTAAGGAAAAATTCCCTTATGATACAATTGACGCCAATCCACCGCCTCCTTCTTCAAAAAAGGCCAAACAGTCACCAATCCCAACTCCTGTGAAAAATCGGTTCACTCATAATACAGGTCCTTCCAAAACGCCACCTCTCGGGACATCATCACACGACCAATCTCTCCCACCACTAATGCGAAAGCGCCAGGATAAACCAAATCCTGCGAAAAATATGTTGACTCATGAACCAGCTCCTGCTAAACCAGCGCCTATCAAGCCAACTTTCACAAAACACCATAAAAATTCAATTTTTGCGAATCATGAACCAGCTCCTGCCAAACCAGCGCCTATCGAGATGTCATCGCATGCCCAACCTCTCCCATCACAAATGCCAAAACTCCAGGATAAGCCCATGCCAAAAAATGAGGAGACACTTCATGAACTTTTAAGCAAGATTGAAGAGAGTGATATAGAAGTCACCGAACCTCCACCAATTTATCCTGATTGGGACGATGATGGGCTTTTTGATATAATGAAGAATTGCTTCCATTTTATCCATCGATTTATGCTAAAAAATAGGGATGATAAGCAATTTCTTCAGAATAGGACAAATGCCTCGCTTCTTGGTTTTAAGAATTTGCCCCCTATTGATGGTATCACTAGGGAAATCCAATATAGCATGTACATCGAAGATGCATTTCATCAATTATACTGTTACATTATTGATGTATTGATGAATTATCGAAATTTGAAGACATTTATTAATTCTGAATATAGGGTGTCCAAAGGTGTGTTTAGCACAAACCTGAATACTGCGAATAGAAATAAACAAGTTACATATATATAAAGTTTATTTAAATATAATCACCATTGGATTCAATCACGCGTTCGCAGCGATCGATCCAGGCTTGAAAGACACGCTTTAAATCATCATGAGAAAATTGCTCAAATTGCTCTCTTACAAAATTTTCAAGATCATCTGGACTCGCGAATTCGCGTCCTTCAGCTCTCTTTTTTAGCGTGCCGAATAAATAAAAGTCAGAGGGTGCAATATCAGGTGAATTAATTGGGTTTGGAACAACTTTGACATTGTTTCCACCAAGTAATTCATTACCTTATGACTTTTGTGAACTCTTGAATTATCAAAATGAATTGCAAACTTTTGTTTTTGTTGTTTGGATTTCTCAAACTCATCAGAATTGATAATTTGAGTAAGAACATTGTCAATTAGATACTGAGCATTCATCGTATTAGGTTGTTGAAGAATATCAATTGCGATGATGCCATTCACGCCCCAAAAAACCGACAACATCATCATTGGTGTGTCAATTTTTTTCTTCGGGAATGTTTGCGGATTTTCATCCTTCGGGATCCACATGGTTTTGGCTTCTGTTGCATATTGAAACCAAGACTCGTCCCCTGTTACTAAAAAGCGAAACTTCTTGGATTGATACGCACCCAATATAGAGAGGAGCTCTTTCGAAGATTGGACTCTAGATTTTTTTTGAACTGAATTAAAGTTGTGCGGAACCCAACGTGTATACGCTAGTTTGTAGTTCAAATAATTGTGCAGATAATAACTGACTGTTGTACGTGGTATCTTTGTCATCTCCTCTATCCTTCTGAGTGATGCTCTTGGGTCTTCATCTAGCGCTTGAAGAATTGCTTTGATTTTTCTTTGATCCGGCGATTTTTTGTCAATTTTTATGATGGGCGCCTTTTTGTTCATGAAGTGATACATCCTAACATGATACGTTACAGTGGAATAGTTAGGAGCATCCATACCGAAGCATTTTACCAATGTCTCGTAGATTTTTTACAGTCTTTGCATTTTTTTGCAAGAGCGAGGATGTTTTCTTTATGATTCATTAAAAAAATGAAAAAAATCCCTCCAAAATTTCCCGCGAAACCGCCTCTTGTCTCAAAATTCATTTTATATCCCGGCATGGCGCCAAAATACAACATACTCATCATATACATATATTCATATTTTTTATTATATATTTATAATCAGCATATATCTCCTTTAATAGTCTCATATAGAGCGCTGTGCTAAACGCACCTTTGGACACCCTATACTATAGGCGCTTTAACATCTTTGGTGAATTTCATGAGAACTTATGCCCCTATGGCATGGAAAATTTTTGAATGATGCTTCACGCCAGTTGTCAAAAATTTAAATTAAAGTCAGATGGGCGTAAGTGCAGCCTTAATGAAAAATAAAATTTATATTTATTTATTTATTTATTTTTTTAGTAGGAGGTGTATCTCCACTACATAAGCTTTGAGTGAATGGAGCTCGATTCTGCAGCTCCATTATTATGTTTAAATGTTTTTTGCAGTCAGTCGACATGTATCAAGCTTAAATTAGCTTAATAAATTTTTATTCGTTCTCTGGCTGACACATATCCAGAGGACTTTTTTCTGCATTAACTTGTTTTGAAGTTTTCTGAATTTCATCCCTCATTTGAGAGATATCTAGATAACTTCAACATAAACGAATTACAGACATGTTCTCTCACTCGTTGTAGGCCAATCACAACAGCTACATTACACTAGAGTATAGTTCTTCCAATACCTCTCAACAGATGAGAAACTACAGAAGATCTTTGTCATATTCGAAAGAGTAGTAAGAGTACTTTAAGGCGACGTTCATTATGAAGCCTCTCATCCTATGATAGACATCGTAATGAAAATTACCAAATTCGAGTAAATTTACACACCTGACCCTTAATGGTTCAGGGAGTAGTACTATATTCCCACAATGACAATAATTACGCTATCCTAGCAGCTAGGCTGCATAATTATTGTGCTTCTGGCTTTCAGGATCATCATGGAAGATCAAGTGGAAATATGATACCGGAGCCACTTGCTAATATCGATGGGCAGCACTATAATTGGACAGATCAAGGTCAGGCTTATTTTGATAATTATCTGTTAATGTATTCGGTTTACAAATATCAGAATTTCTAATTAAAAGATGATAGATAATATCAGATTTTGTGAATGCTTATCAAATGGGTAAATCCGATTGTGATCGCTATAAAGAAAGACTTTCAATGCCTATGTTGGTTAGACCTTTATGATAAATATATATAAATCCTTCATAGATAAATTCCAAAACCATGTGCTGTATATTTTATTCTTGCATTTTTCTAAACTGATGATAATTCATATAATTAAGATATCTGATGTAAAATTGGAAAATTCCGGAGGTAATTAGTAATAACTATGATAGACCTTATAGCTGTTACTGTCATTAAGAGGAAGATGTTACTCCATTAATTTTTGAGAAAATTATGAGTACTTTTTATCTAAGGGTCGAAATTGATTATAATATATCTTGTACAGTATAATTCCAAATCATTTTAACCAAAATAACAAAATGAGCAATTCTCATACTTCAATGTCATGGATAAAATCCGAAATTAAGCTATATTTATTAATTTCATAAGATATTAGTCAATATTTGCCAATCAGTAATTAGATATTGAGAATTGGGATATAATCTCAAATTCCTTTCAATAACCACTGGTTTGCACGATAGCCATGCATCGGTCAGGTTTTTTTTATAAAAATGGGAAATAATATTTTAACATTTTGATATTTACTTGAATCTCAATTTTCATAGAAAATATTGATAGAAGATTTTCTTCTTGAAACATAATTTTTGTCAATTGGTGAATATAATTAGTTAATATTTCAGAAGTCATGGAAGTTTTTTATTTTTTGAGAATCTTTTGAATTTCGTTTTAACTTGTATTTCATATAGGACAAATAAATATCATGAATTATTTGCTTGTATTTTTAAGACAAATTCAATTTTTCAAAACGTTTAAAAATAAATCTTAAGAAATTCAAATTGAACTAGATTTCCGTTTTTACATCATTTCTAATAATGAACATTGATCAAAGTATTACGCAGGATGAAAATCACCTGTTAATTATGATTTCCGTTGATGTAGCAGCACATTTTCTAATATGCTCCAAAGATCCATGCGCAATAGCAAAGCAATTCTATGATAAATATCTTATTTCAAAGGATGAATATAGATATTGCATCAGAGAAGCTCTTGTAAATAAGTATAAACAGTTGCTTTATGACAAGACCCCTTACACAAAGAAATCAGAACTTATTAAGCCATTCAAACAGGCATTAGTCTTGATCATTTGCAAGCATTTGAAGGTGCTCACTTATCAAAGTGACAAACACGTTTACATAGTCGATGATTTTGATTCGAAGTTGGCATGGTCCTGGTGTTATATTTTAGAAATTATTTCGGCAGATTATTGCTTTTTCAATGATAAAGAGCAAGAGAAGAAAATTGGGCGTGTGCTCTGCAAAGTATATGAATATGCCAGATTGAAAGTTCAAAAAATTCAGTCCCAAAAGTTAGAAGAAATAAATCTTGATGAATTCACAAAATTCCTTGGATCTGATTTATTGATGCTATTAAATTGAGATTGCATTGATTAATTATTCATACTATGAATAATAGCATATAAACAAAAAAAAGGTAGTGGGGCTTCCAGGCGCGTTGCGCCCTCTAGCCCCGAAGATGTTTAGTATAAATGAAGTTTTTATTCGGAGGGCTTCCAGGCGCGTTGCGCCCTCTAGCCCCGAAGATGTTTAGTATAAATGAAGTTTTTATTCGGAGGGCTTCCAGGCGCGTTGCGCCCTCTAGCCCATAAAAAATTTCTGAGGACGAGCCAGCCGGTGACTTTTTTGTAGAGCACTCAAAATAGTATAACTTTGTCCGGACAAGTAAGGGTCTATCGTCGCTACAGGAAAAGTTACAGGCGTTCCAAGGAAGTATACTTTGAGAAGCCTTTTTCCCATTATAGAATGAGATAAGACGGTTATTTTACAAAACTGACAACACTTTGACCGAGTAGTTTTTTGTGCTGAACAAATAGTGTCATATAAACATCTGTCAAAAACCGTTTTTTACTTCACTTAAAATGCCACGTAAGCTACGTAAGAATATACGTAAGAGGAAGGGAGCATTGAAACATCCAATAGTAAAACTGACACCACAACAACAGTTGCAACAACAAATGATGAATGACCCCACTATGTTGCAACAAATGTCAAGCAACCCTATGCTTTTAAACCGAGTTATTGGTGCACAGAGTGGAGGTTTAAGAGCGGCACTTTTAGCGAAAATGGCAGGCTATGGTGGAGCTGCAGACGGAACAGCTTATAACCCTCAAAGTCAAATGAATTTGAGTTCACTCAAAAATCAAATAACAGATGTCAAAAAGTCAAACATAGACATACAGAAACAAATAAGTGAAAACGAAAAGAAACTAGAATATGACAGACACACAAAGAAACTCAATGAGTTAAACGTAGAGAAAAAGAAGAAAGAGAACAACTGAAAGAACTAAGTACAGAGGAATATGCGAAAAAAGTGTCAGAAAAAGCAGCAGAAGTAGCAAAAATGGAACAAGATGTTATAAATTTGAAAAACCATACTACTCAATATAAAGTACTGAAAGATGAAGAGATAAAACAAAAAGCCCTGAAGACATATATGGATAGCGATGAGTATAAAAAAGAAGTTGAAGCAAATGTAAAGGCAGAAAAACTTTTACAGTTGCAAAACCAAACCGTACAGTATGAAAACTTAGCACAAGAAAGTAAAAATAACGACGCAGCCATGCAAAAGGCAATGAAAAGCGCAGAATATATAAAAGCTAATAATGACTGGTTAGATGTCCAAGCCAACGCTAAAGCAGCCCAACTTATAGGGTCAATAAGGACAAAAATACAAGCGGATGAAGACAGTTCAAATGAAGCTTTAATGAATGCTGACTTTAAGAATGCCTTCGAAGCTCTTCATAGTAAGGTGAAACTAGTGAACGACTTCTCATCTGGAAAGAAACTGAAGTCTGAAGGTTTCGACAAAGAGTTAAGAGAAGTAGCACAAAATATGACGAAAATAACAGATGCAGCAACGAGACAGGCAGTTCAAAGTGCCTATGACGCCGTTAGAGCAACTGTTGTGGAAAGTCAAGAAAAAGAGTTACAACAGACCAAAACAGACCTAGTAAATGCTTTCTTAAAAACGAAAAGTCAGGTAGGACATTATGCTGCAGATGGAACATATGTGCCAGCTGGTGGAACTTATATACCACCAAACCCTCCAAGAGAAGCACCTGCACCAGGACTACCTAACACATTTACATCGTCACATGGACACAGACACAGGCATGCACCAAAACCAACACAACAACCAACAGTTCAAAATCCAGCACCACAACAACAACCAAAACCAACAGTTCAAAATCCAGCACAGCAACCAACAGTTCAAAATCCAGCACAACAACCAACAGTTCAAAATCCAGCACAACAACCAAAACCAGCACAACAACCACCTCCACAACCAGCACAGCAACCAACAGTTCAAAACCCTGCACAACAACAACCACAAACAGAGCAAGGACATAAAAGAAGTAGAGAAAAAGGAAACCAAGAATTCTTAAAAATGCTAAAGGAAGATTATGGTTACCCAGATACTCTTGACTTTAGTGACAGATATAAAGAAGCTATTAGAAAGTTCAAGGAAGGAAATACTGACCCGAACCTATTTAGCTTTATGGCTCAGCACCAAATGGGATATAATTTCAAACCTGGAAAATACAAGCTCGCTAAGGGATATGATTTAATAGCATATCATCCAAATGACATGAATGAATTTACTCCGAGATATTTGGTGTCAGAGCTAAATGATAATTCAACTCTCTTCATGAAACGCGTAAAAAATAGAGACGGAACGAAAGAAGAAAGGTTTATGAGTCCGGATGACTTAGATAGGGAACTTGTTAAAAACGGTCTCGGAATATATGAAATGCCAGCAGATGAGGTACAAGAAACTCAACAGGAAGAAGTTCAGATACAACCAGACATGGAAGAAATAGTTCAGCAACAACAGCTAGAAGAGCCTGAAGGAAACGAACAAGTCCCTCCTTTGGAAACTAACTTCACAGAACTAGATGAAGATTTGGAACAGCCGAAAAATCTTGACCTCAACAAGTGTATGCGGAGAATATGGAATCTTTCCAAGATCTAAGAAAAATTCGGCTGACATAGTAGAAGAATATCGAAAAATGTTCACCGACATACAAAAGACTCCAACATCAGATGAAAATATTCAGCATAGAATGGAAGTACTGAAAGATAATGTACGCAAATACAATAATCCTTTTTACTTACGACCATATAACGTTCAATCTTTGGCTGAACTCGGTGAAAATAAAAGGTTAAATTTCAACAAAACATATAGAAATGAAACATTGTTTAAAGTTCATTCAGAACCTAACCAATATGGAAACAAACCTACTTTTGTTTCTGCAGACTATGGAACTACAATGAGATGGGGTCATAAAGCTAATCCGGATAGGTGGTTCATAAACTTACAACCTCACTTCCAAGAAGTTGTAGACGCAATGGAAGTGAATGGTAAACCAGATATAGCTGGTATTTTCAGCGCGGCTTTAATGCCATTGAAAGATATGAAACATGCAGATATTTTGGACCAGTATGAAATGAACATGGCTGATGGAAATATAACACCTGACGTTCTAGAACATTTATCTCAAAGAACTACACAGAACCATAGAGATGGTATATTTGGTGAAGAGTTTAGAAAGAAAGTTAGGAGAGAGAAGGAAGAGAACCTATTGTACATGACCTTGCAAACGAAAGTTTGCAAAATGTCATAAAAACTTACTTTGCAGACAATGAACCGAGAATGGATGAATATTTAAGAAAACTCAAATGGACAGTACCAAATGAAATGTTAGTATTGAAAAACATGTTCCTTGACAAAATAAAACCAACTACAGAAATAAATGACGCAAGACTGAAACATGGTAAAAGCTTTCCCATTCACAAAAGATATTATTGGTACATGGAAAGAAAACCAGAATGGCTACAAAAACATATATTTGGAAACGAGCTTATTCCATATGGACAGCTCTGTTTGAAGAGCTTGAACCGGAAACTCAGGAAAGAGTCATGCAAACAATAAGCGAAGACTCAAATACAAACTATGACAAAATCTTTCTAGGATATAGGTTACCTGAGATGGGCGACCAGAGCCCAAAGGCAAAAAGGACATGGGAATTTACAACATACTAGGTGAACATGAGGCAAAGATGCAACAACTTGAAGCAGAGGGCAAGTTACCAAAAGCGACACCAAGAGAAGAGAAGAGTAGAACAAAGTGAAAGTAGTGAAGAGTAACTTCATCTAGTGAAAGTAGTGGCAATGAAGGAAAAAGAAGAGTTAAAGATTCAGTTAAAAAACTCAGTCAGGAAGAAAGTAAAGCTTGGTCCGAGTGGGTTCTATTATGACATATAAATCCAACTATTCTATATTTTTACCCATATGAAATGTACGCCGCTCAGAATATAACGCCAACAGTTTTGGATGCCATGAACGGAAATGTTTCCGAATGGTATAACGAATGCGACAATGCCATTAGAAGGTCAGAAATAGTTCCTGGAACTTACGAATATACAACTGCTGTTTCTTATGGAAACGTAGGTGAGTTTGGAGAAGGTTCTTCAACAACAGTAGATATTGCTTGCGACAGGTTTCACATTATTTCTATTGACAACTCATTCTTATACGTGGAACAAGACATTGAAATAAAACCTTCTTCCAAGTTGTCTGACAAGAAAGGTTGCAATGGAATTTTCTATGTCGGATACCAATATGCTCCAGAAGTTTTCATGGGATATAAGATATATTCTAACTCTGACTTAGTTCAAACAGTAACATGGGCAAACTATGAATGGTTCGCTTTGAGAAACTCAGTACAACCACAAGCTAGAGAACAAACAGACCAGTATGCAACTATTGAGAAAATAAGAAGACTTGACCCTAACGTTCCAGGAGTTTATGTTGACCTTTCTGGACAAACTGCAGCAGCAGTAACCAAAGTAAAACTGAAACTTAGAGTTCCTTTGTCATCTTTCCTCATCTTCAGGTTTTTAAGATACTTGCCAAACCGGGCAGGAAAAATTTCTATCGAACTTACTCCAAGCAAAAATAACTTAGTCATTGCACCAACACAAGACCCATTCACTCTTACAGACGTAAAGGGAACAAATAAAACGTCATTCGCCGAATTTTGCAAAGACAAAGTTGACTTAAACTTTGGTTTCTCAAACCTCAACACTGAAGTAAACTATTATTTCAATGCTGCTGGAGATGCTTGGGACCCAGTTAAGTTCACATGCGAAAAATTTGAATGCAAGAGAATAGAAAGCAGACTTGCAGTCTATATGTTGGACCCAGATATTTCAAATGCTTTAGCTGCCAAATATATTGCAGTTCCACTTATGTTCCCTATACACCAAATATCTGTCAAAGACTTTGCAGGTGAAGTTGGAAACCAAAATCCAGGAGCCGAAGGTGCAAGAACAGATATTGCTTTAAACTGCAATAAA